TATTCAATTTAACTAAATGGTTTTAACATCGCGTATATCAAGTTCTTCCGCTCTAAACGGACGAGAGAAGAGAGCAGTAGAAGAACTCAGTGGTAGAAGACCTTATCTATCAGACGGAAAAAATATCTATGGCATTTTCGCTACAGTCAATAAAAGTCCTGAATCCGCCCCTGATTTCTATTTGCAGTAAGTGGCAAATAAAACCAAATTTATAAGCTTAAAAGCCAATCCAAATATAGAAAACATTTTGACGAGTATAGTGGAAATTGTTTTTTTAATAAATGTTAGATTTACTGAGATGGAAAAAATTTCAAATTTTTTTGATTGTATGCAACCTCAAAACTTATTTAGTTTTTGAAAGATGATTTAATTGAATCTGCTAAAGTGTGACAACAGAATTACTTAAATCCTGTTCGATTTCGGCAATAGAGAACAAAAAATCACCAACATTAGAATTAGTTATAGCAACTGCAGACTTTGCAAATAAGAAAGCTAAAAAAACTCATATTCAAAGTAAAAAAATTTCTTTGGGTGTTCTTAAATTTTTTAAATTCTATACAGTATCCCAAAAAACCAAAGTCAGTTTTGAAAATGGATACATATGTTTTATGGTAAGATACAAAGATGAAACATCTTAAAATAGAAAAATATGTTTTATGGTAAGATACAAAGATAAAACATCTTAACTTAAATTAGTCTCGCCGAGAGCAAGGTTGAAATATTGTAAAATGCGAACTGCGAACCGCGAACTGCGAACCGCGAACTGCGAACCAGTAAAATGCGAACTTTTTTTGCGAACCAAGACATTATATTTTAATGACCACTACGGTTATAATATTAAAAAAACTTTAGCTCGTAAATTTTTTAATTTAAATTAAATAGAGTGTAATTTGATATATTTATAATTAATTGTATTAGATGTAATTTGATATATTTTATTTAAACTAGTTAGTATTCCTTTTAAATTAAATATAATTTATGTTTCTGCTTGAAGTCCATAAAATATATAGTAAAATAAACAATTTAGCGATAAACGGTAAATAAAAAATATTACATTTTAACAACCAATAGAACTATGGTTTGCAAAAAAAGTTCGCATTTTACCGGTTCGCAGTTCGCGGATCGCAGTTCACGTTTTACCGGCTATCTGGGAACTCAGGGTTAATAATAATTTGGCGTTGTCTACCAATTCCGTAACAATGCCATAGCAACCGATGTATAAACAAAACATTTGTAAAAAGTTTGCGAAACAGTTCCTTTATAAATAATTATGCAAAAAAGCTGAAACTTTGACATTTTGTTTTTCATGGTAATAAAATTCATTTGAGAGAAGGTTTTCGTTTAACGCATTTCAGCTCTTCAATTTTCATAATAATCTTGTTTGACTCGCCTAATTTGTGAAACTTTTTTTAATTTTTTATGCACCATTTCAAAAATATTCTTTTATTTCCATTTATTTTCTCTGAAATAAATTTTTATATTTTGTTTATAATATGTTACAAATACCAGGTTAAAATGGCTGGTAATTTTTGAGTAATCATTTCAGAAAAATTTGCTTATTTTTAGTTTTTAATTGTATGATCGAGGCAAACAATTTCAAGTAAGAATATATATATTTTTAAATTTTAACAATATATTTATGTTTAAAAAGTTAAGTTTTACTGTAGTTCCAATGAATTTTTTAAGTATTTCTTCGGGTACCGCCGGCATTTTTAGAATTACTACGTCTGCTAGCGTGCCACTGGCATTCAAATAATTCTAATAAAAATATCCACTAGCATTCTAGAATTATTACGTACAAAGATACTATAGCTGTAACAAATTTAAAATTTTTTTCATAATCATAAGTGAGATAAAGTTAATTTTTGATATTAAGTTTTAAGTTTAATAGTATTATCTCTCAGCGTTCTAAAGTTATGAGCATATCAAGTTTAACCCCCCCCCCCCCCTCAATTTAAGGAGATACAAATTGTTGGCTCTGTAATAATGCCATTTGTAGAAAAAACATGTAAAAACTCGTAAAAATCAACATTCAAGACAAACAATCAATCAACCAAACGGGTTAATTAACAATTAAATGAAATCACTAGAAGGTTGTAGAACATTCCGGCATTTTTTTTGTGACGTCAAAGTCTATTAATTTTCATGAAACACAACTTATAGGAAGCAATAGTTTTTTACTATTAAATTAATTTTAAGTAATCGCGTGCAATGCGACACTTATTATTGCTTTAATTTTTCTATTAAGAATTCTTAAGCAACTATTTATTAACACTTTATATTATTAAGCTAGTTTTAATATTATTAAAATAAATTTTCATAGTAAAATTAACCCTTTTTATCTTGTTGTTGATTCAAGAACTTAAAGATGATTTTAAATCCATATACGTTTCAAAATTTTTATTACTTTTTTTAAAGTTATACTATTTATTATACATAACATATGCATATATATGGTAGAAGTATGTAAAAAAAAAGGAAATTTTAACCATAAGAGTTAAGGTAACAGTTAGGTTGCTTTTGTTTGTGTTTTTTAGATGTTTACCAGAAATTTTTATAATTTAAAGATATTTCATTTTGTTGTTATTGGCATTTGTGGTTACAAGTTTTTTGTTGATTTGAATCAATTTTTTCTGCATCCTCCAGATTTTAAGATAGAAGCGCATATAGTTGAAAGCTTAAAAAGACTTCAATTTTTGAAGAATTCTTTGACAAACTTTTCATCATTTATTCAACCAAATCCTGAAATTGCGATTGTAATTATTTCATCTGAGCGAGATTATGAAGGTGTAAATCTTGATTATCCATTTCAGACCGTTGGTACTTTGTTTTTAGAAATGAAGCACACTAAAAAAAAATTTGGGTTTCTTTTTTGCAATACAACATATAAAGTTAATGATTATTTAGGAAGTTTAGATTCTTTGATTGGGTTACCATATATTTATAAATTTACCAATATACTTGCAACAAATGACAAACAAGGAAGGTGGCAAAAAGAATTACTTGATTATATTTCCTGTCTTGTTGAAGCTAAAAAAAGATATCCTTACACAAAATACTTTTTATTCAATGAAGATGATGGGCTTATTATAAATGGTTTTTATGATAGTTTAAATAATGTAGTTTCACAAATCGATTTTTTATCACTTCAG